CTAGCTGGCCCACCTCAAATTTTCGGGGACGCACCTTCTTGTTATGTGCTCTTGCCATTCTTTTCTAATACAATTGGCCATGACATACTGCAACCAATCTTTTCTCATCAATCAAACTCAACTGCTCTAGCCGGGTTTTGACCCACTCATTATCATCAATTTCAGCTTCAGCAATGATCGGAAGGGATGGATTTCAACTTCCGCGGGTATAATCGCCTCAGTTCGGTATACCAGCAAATAAGGAGTTGCACCTACTGAAGTGCGAACAGTAGTGCGATAACCCAGTAAAGCAAACGATGACTTTTCATGCCATTGCCGAGAACCTTGCACCATCTTACGAAGTATCTTCTTTATGTTATTGTTAGCCGCCTCAACAGCTCCATTTTTCTTGGGGCGATACGGAGTGGAGTTTCGATGCATAATCTTGAACTGTTGGCATACATCCCGAGTCTCCCATTCTCCCTGAATCTGGTGAACCAAAAGATCTGAATCTCCCAAGACCAATACTTCCTGAACTCCCATGTCTACAGCTAGCCTCAAACCCAGAATGCATGCCTCGTACTCAGCCATGTTGTTGGTGCAATAAAATCGAAGCTGAGCTGTTACGGGGTAGTGATGCCCTGTTTCAGAAATGAGTACAACCCCTATTCCGACATCTTTCATATTAGCAGCTCCATCGAAGAAAAGTTTCCAACCCGGCTTTTCATCATGGTCAGCCTCGTCAATATGCATCACTTCTTCATTAGGAAAGTAAGTCTTCAATGGCTCATACTCTTCATCCACCGGATTCTCGGCCAAGTGATCGGCCAAGGCTTTGGCTTTCATCGCGGTCCGAGTCACATAGATGATGTCAAACGCTGTAAGTAAAATTTGCCACTTTGCGAGTCTTCCCATGGGCATAGGCTTCTGAAAGATATACTTTAGGTGATCTATGCGAGAAATGAGGTAAGTGGTGTAGGACGAAAGATAATGCTTCAACTTTTGTGCCACCCAAGTTAAGGCGCAACATGTCCTTTCAAGAAGAGTATACTTAACCTCATACGGCGTGAACTTCTTGCTGAGGTAATAGATTGCTTGCTCTTTCTTGCCCGTGATGTCGTGTTGATACAACACACAACCAAAAGAATTATCCAGGACCATCAAATAGAGAACTAAAGGTCTTCCAGGCTTCGGCGGAACCAGCACAGGTGGGTTTGACAGGTTCATCTTGATCTTATCAAATGCTTCCTGATACTCATCAGTCCACTTGACCGCAACATTCTTCTTCAACAACTTAAAGATGGGCTCACAAGTTGTCGTGAGTTGAACAATAAACCTATTGATGTAGTTTAACCGTCCGAGCAAGCTCATCACCTCAGTTTTATTCTTTGGCGGTGGCAATTCTGGGATGGCTTTGATCTTTGACGGATCCAGCTCAATACCTCTTCGACTGACTATGAATGCCAACAGTTTTCCAGACGGGACACCAAATGCACATTTTGCAGGGTTGAGCTTGAGGTTGTACCTGTGGAGCCTTTGGAAAAACTTTCTCAAGTCTCCGACATGGTCGGACTTCTTCCTTGACTTTATGATTACATCATCTACATAAACCTCAGTCTCCTTGTGTATCATGTCATGAAATATGGTAGTCATTGCCCTCATGTAAGTTGCTCCAGCGTTCTTCAAACCAAATGGCATTACCCGATAGCAATATGTTCCCCACGGCGTGATGAACACTTTCTTTTTTGCATCTTCCTCATCCATCAGGATCTGGTGATAGCCCGCATAATAATCCATAGAAGTCCCGATCTCATGCTTGGCACAATTATCAATTAAAATGTGAATGTTCGGCAATGGAAAATTATCCTTTGGGCTTGCCTTGTTGAGATCACGGTAATCAACACATACCCTGGTCTTACCATCCTTCTTTGGTATTGGCACAACATTAGCTAACCAAGTGGGATATTGAGTGACCCGAATGACTTTTGCCCCAAGTTGCTTTGTGATTTCTTCTTTTATCTTTACACTCATATCAGTCTTGAACTTTCTTAACTTTTTATTGACAAGAGGGAATGCGGGATCAGTTGGCAATTTATGAACTACCAAATCAGTGCTCAAACCCGGCATATCATCATACGACCATGCAAAGACATCTTTGTACTCAAACAGTGCTTTGATTATTTCTTCTTTGTTTTGCAGTTCCAGATGCACACTTATCTTGGTTTCCCTGACATTATCCTGATCTCCTAAATTGATTGCTTCAGTTTCATTCAAATTAGGCTTGGGTTTTTCTTCAAAGTGTTTTAGTTCTTTACTAATTTCCTCAAATGCTGCTTCATCATCATATTCCATTTCATCATCGCACTCTACTTCTTGGATTATTATTTCAGAGTTAGATTGGCTTTTAAGACTTGGCTGAAAATTCCTCATGCATGTCATGTCATTGAAACCGGCATAAAAAGAACTGTACAAAGAAAAACAAAATGAGACACTATCAGGAATAATGGAAAACGGGAAATTGTATTTCATTAAAAATGAAGGATAGAAGGGTTTGTACATCAAAACAAGCGAAAAATAAAAATCTCGATTACAACCCTGGAATAACCCAGATAACAGAAAGGAAAACAAAGCAAACTACCAAAACTCCTTCCGGGTGGGGAGAGGAGTAGCTTTCCAATTGCTAAGCTTCACATTTGGCCCAACAAGCTCCACATCGGCGTTACTGGAACCTTCCCCAACTTCTACCATATTAACCTCATCAAATAGACTTTGGAACCTCTTGATCAGCTCTTTATCAAAGTCGACCGCAGGTTTTGGGACCGCTGATATTGGGCGCTTTAGGATCCTTGGCTTGACAAAGGACCTGGAGATGTGTGGAATAGGCTTAGGGAGTGACCATGCCATCCTTTTCAACCTTTTAGCCCTCTTCACATCCTCCCCTGTGGGCTTGAATACCAGACCAAACGTACCAAGACTTTCACATAGACACACTGGATGCACGATACCTTGTAGAGATGAACCCAGACCTTTGCCCAGCACAAAACCTTTCTTCAGCATTTCATTTGCTACCATGACGGATGCGGAGGTTAGCTTTGGACCTGGAATGCATTCCCCCTCAGGAATCTTCTCAACTGACACTGTTTTGAAAGTTTGGTAGACCCAAGGCCCTTTATCATCCTCAGCTTCAATAAATGGGACGGATGTGTCATTGTAAGCACATGAGTTCTCGTCACCGTGCACAACTATTTCCTGCCTGTGCCACTCGAATTTTACAATTTGGTGCAGAGAAGATGGGACTGCCTTGGCAGCAAGTATCCAGGGCCTGCCCAACAATAAATTGTAGGAAATGGCCACATCTAGCACTTGGAACTCCATAGTGAATTCGACTGGCCCTATTGTCAGTTCGAGCATTATATCGCCAACAGAATCCTTTCCCCCTCCGTCAAAACCTCGAACACATAAACTGTTCCTGTGGATCCTTTCAGTACCGATTTTCAACTTTTGTAGAGTGGAGAGAGGGCAAATATTTGCACCGGAACCATTATCAACCAATACCCTCGAGACCATAGAATTCTCGCATTTCACTGTGAGATAAAGAGCTCGATTGTGTTCTGTACCCTCCAGGGGAAGTTCGTCATTCGAGAAAGTGATCCTATTTTCCTCGAATATCTTATTAGCAATCTTCTCCAAATGGTTCACCGTGATCTTATCAGGGAGATGGGCCTCATTCAAAATCTTCATAAGGGCCTGGCGGTGTTCGTCTGAATGTATCAGTAATGATAAAAGAGAAATATGAGCTGGTGTTTTCCTTTACTGTTCCACAATGGAGTTGTCCTGCACCTTCATTTTCCTCATGAATTCTTCTGCCTCCTCTTCGATAACTGGATTTTTTACTGGGATTGGGATATCTTTGAATGGCTTGGCTTTCCTCAATTCCTCTGGGGTAAAGCATCTCCCCGAATGAGTCAGCGCACCGGTTTCATTAACTTCCTCCTCCACTTCTTTCCCTTTATAAGTTACTATCACTTGTTTGTAGTTCCACAGAACAGCCTTGGTATCGTCTACTGGCAGCAGGGTCACTGGTTTAATAACAACAGGGGCAATGCGAGCCCCTTCCACGATTATGACAGGCTTACTTGCTATTCCTGGCACGACCACTCTTGGCTTTCCTTGCTTTGCTCCAACATCATCTGGGAACCCTTTCACGACTAATACAGGTGGCTTAATATTGGGCGTGCTTAGCTTATCTATCAGCCCTTCAGCTGTCGAGGGTGTTTCATTTGTAAAAACTGGAGTTTTAACTGAAGTACTTCCGCTGGCACGGATCATCATGACAAACTTTGAAGACTTCTCGGGCTCCCCATCCTTATGCACTATCTCAATCATGTGCATCTCGGCATAGGCCTGCAAAGGATTTTGGTTGATATTTGGCGCCTCTGGGCTCTAGACCTCAATTTGATTTATATCAATAAGCTCTTGGATTGCTCTCTTCAAATGCCAACACTTTTCTGTATCGTGCCCTAGGGCATCAGAACAATATGCGCATCTGAGGGAATAATCGAGGTTCTTTGGAGGGGGATTTGGCAACTTTGACTCAATCAGCCTCAAGACATCCAACTGCCTCAACCTTTGAAACAAACTGGTATATGACTCTCCAAACGGGGTGAAAGTTTGTTTTCGCTGCTGCCTTTCTCTTGTAAACTCTGGCCTCGGTCGAAATCTTGGATCGGTAGGGTTTCGATATGGTTGTGGGGGTGTATAAGGATTTTGTGGTTGTGGAGCATGCCATTGCAGGTAAGGAGGGGGTTGAGCATATGACTGTGCGTGATGGACGTGGTATTAGGGTGGTCTGACTGAATATTGAGGGTCTTGTGGTGGGAAGTAGTGCTAGAGTGGATTATATGGAGCTTGGGTGTAGGCTTGAGGGTGGGGTCGAGGCTGGGTGTACTGGTGAGGTGAACCCCTTGGGCCATGCCATGATCCTGAGACAACCATAGCAACATCCTCTTTCTTCTTTTTTCCTAACACGCCCCAGTGCCACCTTGGATCGCTTGTGTGGTTGCTTTTATGGCGGAGTAACTCATGATCTTACTTGATTTGAGTCTTTCATCCACCATTCCTCCCATCTTTACCACTTTATTGAAAGACTTACCTATGGACAACATCAAATGGCCAAAGTACGTAGGCTCCAGTGCTTGAAGAAAATACTCCACCATTTCATCTTCTTCCATTGGAGGGTTGACCCGTGCAGCCTGTTCTCTCCATCGGAAACCATACTCTCTGAAGCTTTCACTGGGCTTTTTCTCTATCTTGGTCAAGGACAGGCGATCTGGAACAATGTCTACGTTGTACTGAAAATGCCGAGCAAAAGCTTGAGCCAAGTCATCCCAAGTGTACCACCTACTAGTGTCCTGGCAGGTATACCATTCCAACGCTGCACCACTCAAGCTTTGACTAAAATATGCCATCAACAACTCATCCTTCCTACCATCACCCCTCATCTTGCTGTAAAACCCTCTTAAGTGAGCCACGGGATCTCCATGCCCATCGTACAAGTCAAACTTGGGCATCTTGAACCCGGCAGGCAGTTAGACATCAGGAAATAAGCATAAATACTTATAAGCCACACTCACTTGGCTTCCTAACCCTTGCATATTCCTCAATGATTGCTCCAGACTCTTTACTTTCCTAAATATCTCCTCCTACTCCGCGTTCCCGGGTGCTTTCTCAGTTTCAACAGAAGGTTCAAAGTGAGGGGTGTAAGAATAAGGGTCCGTGACTTTGAAAGTTGGTTCTGGAGCATAATATTGTGCATCTGGAGCTTGGAACGCCGATTCACTAGAAGATCGATGGAGGGTAGCTCGCGGAGGGGCTACAAAAATAGGAGCGGATGTCGGAGCAGGGTATGTGGTTGTTTTGGCTGGTGGAGCATGGAAAGTTTGGGACGTGGTGCCGGGGTACTGGTGGTAAGGGGTGAATCCCGGTGCATGCTGAGGGGAAAAATCAGTGGTAGTGGGATCCTGGGCTTGTGAAAGTTGTGGGATGAAAGCAGGATTTTCTGTGTAGTTAGTAGGGAATGACGGTGGAGGATGCCCCCTGATCCATGCTTGATACATTTCTGCCTTTTGATGCTTCAACCTGTGGACCTCCTCTTTCAATCCAGACTCAGATTCCACCATCTTTTTCTACGAGTCAACAACACTTGTGTCCGATTTTTTGCTAGCCATGAGTTCCTTGCGTTTTGACTGGTATTATATGGATGACTTGCCAGAATGCCAAACAAACTAACCACCTTCTTGTACTTAAGTGCAACAACAAACTTGTTAGTTTCAAGAGTTTAACAGATAGGAAATCGCATGTTTGGGATACAATGCACCTAAATAGTTAAACTCTTCTATCGTGTGTTTGAACGGTTGCATGTTTCATCTCGGCCGTAACTAACCCTTTTCACTTTGCACTTTCTTTTTCTTTCGTTCCTGCCTCCCTTTAATCACTCTTGATTTTCTCACTTTGTTCCTGTCGCCCCTTTTTTATTTTTGCACTCTCTTTTGTTCCTTTGTTTTGCCACTCTTTTTTTCTTTTCACTCAATTCTCTTTTCTCTTTTTTTTTTTAATTTTGTGGCAATAATCGAATCCTATAGGGATTGCCTACGTATCATGACGCCGCATGAATCAGATCATTACGTAGTTTAGGGGATAAATGCGAAATAAAAGAAAGAATTTTTTTTGGGTTTTCACTATTTCATTAAATAAAATCTTTTTGGGTTTTTCTATTACAAGGATTCTGACAGACAGACTAAAAAAAACAGAAAAATAAAACAAACTTGGAAAAGACTAACAGACTCGAAAAAGTGAAATAAAGACTCAAAACCAAAAGAAAGTCAGGAATACATAAGAGCCTCCAATACCACTCCAGGGGCCCGCGGGACATCAGTCGGTCTCGACGCGGGCTGCGTGCAATATCTTCTTGGAGACGGTCTAAGTTATCCATCACCTGACGGACAAAGGTCATCACAGCAGCGAAGAACACTGACCTGGTCATATCTTCGCATTCATGGCACTCCATTACGACATAATCAGCAATATCTTTAATCCTCCTTCTGATGACACCCTTTTCTTGGAGTAGGCGTCCAATTTGCTGAGATCGGACCTCCAACATGCCGTATGGTTTTGCTCTTGCAATTGCTGCATGTCTTCTTCTAGTCGGGACATCAATGTATAGCAATGCTCTCTTTCTGCTTTAAAATTCTTTCTTTGCTGGGCCATTTCGTTTTCAAGAGTAGTCAGCTTCTTTTTTAAAGACGTGACTCCTCTGTCATACTTTTCCCTTAGCTGCTGAGCAAACCTCGTCCGTTCTTCTGCATTCTTTGCCATCTTTGCCCGGGCTTTTGCCAATTCATCCTCGATCTTTTCCATGTAAGCCCCATAATCACACACTTTTCGTCTAAGACCGTTTATGAGTTTTTCATATTTTCGCTTCTGGCCGGGTTTTCAGCGGCTATCTTCATCTTCTGAATCTGAGCTCGGAGGGCTTCATTTTCTCGAGCCAACCTTTTCTCCTTCATCCTCAGCAGCCTGCAAGCTATTATCAAATTTGAGTTTTTTGATTTGATCCTCTAGCTTGCTTATGGTAGTCCGGTATCCCTTCTTCTTAACTAACCAAACCCACTATTCTTGCGCTCTATGAGTGAATTGTTGGACATGGGGCTTTTTGGCGGGCTGTTCTGGCTCTTAATTGACTCGAACCCTTTTACCATACCAGGCCATGTAGCTAGGTTCTACTTCACCCGTGGACAAATCCCCTACTTGAGTTTGTGGCTCCAGAAATCTACATTGGTGCCAAATCCAGCGAACCTTTTCTTCTGGGAGTGCGGCTTTTGGGCATAGTTCAATAACCTGTTGACTCAAATCATCATCATGAGGGATTGTTTGATATCTTCCCAATTGGCGTAGAACCCGATGCGGAGCATACGGCTGGATACTCCGAAGACCCATCAACAAAAGAAAGCACACTTCGACAGACATATAAATAACCTCGATGACCGGGAGCCAACCGAAAGTCCATTTGGTTTGTAGTGAAAGAACCCACATATGCAAACCATGCCTCAGTACCTTCCGGAAACTCATGACCGTCTACCCGATTTTCATGTTCTTCAATGCAATTGAGACCGGTCCGACCGTAGTTCATGTACCCGGGCGATAACAAAGATGTTCTACCAACCATATTTGCAAAAGCAAGTTTCAACCCTCAAAAAACTTTGTCCCAGCTCGACAAGCGGTTAAAGCTTGATAAATTTCCACGAGAATCATCAGTATGATAGTGCCATTGGCGTTTTTGACCATAAATTCGGCCATTCCTGCAAGCCCCAGTTCTATATTCCATCACTCCTTGGGCATATCAGAGTGCCTAAGAATGCCACTACGAAGGCCAATCCTCTGCGTGCTTCCCATTTGTTTTTATTTCCCTGATGACTCAAACCGGTGTCCGGAGCCTTAAATCCGCGGGGGTCCCCATAACGGTGGTATAAGAAGTGGAATGTGCAGAATCCTTCGGCCAAATTTTCATCTTTAACTTGCCGGCTAATACTCAGAAGGTCCAAAAACTTATGAGGGGTTACAGTTCTTGGTGCTACTGGATATCGATGCCTGAGATTCCCGTCAAGACCGGCATAACCTGCTATCTCTTCTAGTGTAGGGGTCAACTCAAAATCAGAGAAGTGGAACACATTGTGCATCGGGTCCCAAAACGGTATCAAAGCTTCAATTATATCCACCCTTGGTTTAATCTTCAAAAGAACGGTGAACCCGCCTAAAGCCTTTGTCACAGCACTCTTGCTGACCTCCCCCAGGTCGTTCCACCACATGTGGAGTCCCAGTGGAATTTCCTCTACGACTCGAAAAGGTAGATTTTCAGCAGTGCTCGTCCTGCACATTTCATTTAAGGCGACTGGTTAAACACATGTGATTTTTGTTTAGTTTTGACCACAAAAGAAAGATTATTTTTTTTTGCAAAATGTAACTCAAACAGCTCGAGGCCACCTTTGCAAATACGGCCCTTCAGCACTACAGAAGGGAAGATTTTAGGGTTGTGTTTGCTAAGTTGCCAAAAATTGGAGAAAAGACCATAGGTGGATATTCTTGTAAAAACAGCCTTTCGGCATCCCGTCGGGACATTTCTGGCTATTTGGAGAAAAACGGCATCACCTAACTTTATTTATGACAAAAACGACAACATTTCATATTTTTTGGTTATTTTTGCAAAAGCGGGGCTGGACCCGATGAGGGTTGCCTACGTATCTCACATCCGGTGAGAATCAAACCCGCGTAGTTTGGTAAATTTGGACGTAACAGAAAAATGTGAATTATTTTAAAACAACTTTTCTTCTTTTTTTTTTCCTTTGTTTTCAAAATTTTGGCAGAGTTACGGGGTATTTTTGATACTGTGATTTTTGGAAATGGATGATTTTATCTTTCCTACCTCAATCTTGGTTTTTCTTTGATTTTTCTTCCCTAATCTAGAAGCCGGTCAACCTGCAAGGCGAAGCAAATAAATGTACAAGTTGCATGTAAAATGCATCAGAATGGTCTTTTTATTTCGGGCACACCTGTCCTAAACGGAGCCAACCCCTGTGTTGAGTACCCAAAGTCAAATGCATGTGATGCAAACAAGCGTTCCTACTAAGGATCCAGCATGAGGCTATGTTATTCTAGGTTTAAAACCTGGGTGTATTGTTCTAGACCTGGCTTACCCGAGCGGACAACTCGAGTCGAGGGGTGGCAGCGTACCGGGAATACAGAAGCTTCACCAGCTTTGCAACTTATCCGAACCTCGTTCTAAAATTGGGATATGACTCTAACAGAAAAGAAGCAACACGAGGTGCACGCTTCCCAGATGATTTAGAAGACTCTGAGAGAAGAGGGTTTCATAATAGTTTATATACAGTTCAAGAAATATCAAAGCGCTAAAAAATGACATTTAGCACATTAAGCTCAAACACGTAAAAATCAGATAATAAACAAAAGCCCACTATAACAGTTATTCTAAGCTCGAATTCTGAACCTTGAACCAGAAGTTCTGGGTTCTTTTCCCCAGCAGAGTCGCTAGAGCTGTCACACCTCCTTTTTCCCACAGGGGATAGGGAGTTTTTCCAATTTAAGTGAAATTATCGAAATGGGATTATTATTTTGATTAGAGTCGCCACATGGGATAATTTATGGTGTCCCAAGTCACCGATTTATTTTTAGAATCCCAAATCGAGGAAAAAATGACTTTGTTTAAAGTCCGCGAAACACAGAAATCCTGGTAAGGAATTCCGTTAACCCGGGAGAAGGTGTTAGGCATTTCCGGGTTCCGTAGTTTTAGCACAATCGCTTAACTATTAATAATTGGCCTAATTATCTGATTAATTACACATTTTAAACCTACGTGCATTTTTAACTTTCTAACCGCTTTTAATGTTTATAGATTTATTTTCTGGAATAAGTCACGATTGTCGTACACTTGTCGTTTTTGTACACACTACAAACCGTGTCACATGAAATACACCCGCGATTTACAACATGTTTATTT